TCAAAAAGATACATCTGATAAAGGACCACAATCCAAATGTATATACTCTTGAAACACAAAATAAGAAAACAAACAACTTAATCTTAAAAGTGGGCAAAAGACCTGAACAGATGCCTCACCAAAGATATACAGAGGGTAAATAAGCATACTAAAAATGCTCATCTAGTTATGTCTACGAATTATAAAGTAAAACAAGATGCTACTACATACCTACTAGAAGAGCCAAAACCCAGAACACAGAAAACATCAAATGCTGGAAATGATGTGAAGCAGTAAGATCTCTCCTTCACTGCTGGTGGAAACACAAAGTGATTTAGCCACTTTGGAAGACACTTGACAGCACAACACCAATCATACTCTTCTGACACAATCCTGCAATTTCACAGCTTGGCATTTACACAAATAAGTTGAAAATTTAGGAATGCCCCCTCCACACACACACAAGCTATTAAGCCATGAAAAGACATGGAGGAAATATAAATGCATATATATCCTTATGGCTTAATTTTTTTTTCTGTGCTGGAGATTGAACCCAAGGCTTTGTGCACACCAGGCAAGTGATCTCCCACTGAGCTATATCCCAAACTCTAAATGCATATTGTTAAGTGACAGCAACTATTCCAAAAAAAAAAAAAGGCTGTATAAAAGCATGATTTCAACTGTATGACATTGTAGGAAAGGCAAAACTACAGAGACATAAAAGATCAGTGATTGCCAGAAGTCAGGAGGGAGAGAGTGATTATTAAACAGCACACAGAAGGATGAGGGGTGGGTAGTGAAACTATTCTATAGATACTACTTATATGGGGATTTTCTGCTCAGTTCTGTGAACCTGAGCTGCTTTTTTTTTTCTTAAAATATTATCTTGAGGGAAATGCTATCCAAGCTGACAACCAAGATCAAAGCCAAGGTTCCCAGGATTTGCAGAACAGAGCTGGTTGGACACAGAATACAGCTGATGTCAAAAGATCCTCCAAACTCAATCATTATGCCTGGCATGGTGTCCTGGGTGTAACCACTGTGCATGGCCATATTAACTAAAGAGGTAAATAGAACATAGCACATGCTGCTAAGCTTGTTCTCTCTAGGATTRCAGTGAGGGGATCAGGACACAGCAGTATGGCCCTGCAGTAGGCTAGGCACCTCTGCTGCCAGACAATAACAAATATGTAACAAAATTCCATCTCATGATGAGAATCAATAGCAAAGGTGCCATTCAGCTATAATGGCTGTCCTCTCTTGAGTGTAGGTATAAGGCAGGTGATTTGAGGAATCTGGAAGCCCAAAGGAATGCTGTAGGTGAGTCAGGGAGGGAAATGGAAGGAGCACTAGAGGAATAGTTAGTAGTTGGACTGTTTATTAATCCTGGAGTTAAGAGGTTTCCTTTTTAATTTTATTTTATTTTGGAAAAATAGTACAAAGTAACATCAACTCAGTTTTGTGATATTCCTGATATAGGAATGCTTGGTATTTCTATTGTTTTCCTGAATTCCATGGTTTTATTTTACATTCTTAAATTGCTGTATATATTCAGAACTCAAGAGCACACTTTGTGAAGACAGGGATTTAGGAAATTATCCCTCCATCTTAAACTCTATACAAAAAATGGTTTGGATAACATTGTATCTGAAGGACTTTATGTAAGGATATTTTGCCCAAAGGGCCTATTTATGATTCTAGAGAAAAACAGATTGAAGCCCTAACATATTTGTCACATAGTCATCTGCCCTTCACTTCCATTTTCTTCTTGGTGCATTGTGATTCCACTGCTTTGGGATTGTCTGTTACAGGATAAGACAATATGATACCCAATGGCTGCTCTGTGAGAGCTCTGAGTTGCATTTAATTCTGTTCTAATGTTACAGGATTCTCAGGCTCCTTTGCCCTCATTTTTCCTCTTCTCACCCAGTTAAAAACAAATCAGGTCATACCCATTACAAAAGAAACAAAAACAGAAAATAACAAGCATTGGTGAGGATCAGGGAAAATCAGCACCCTGGGGCATTACTGGTGGGAATGTAAAATTGTGCAACCACTTAAAAAAAAAAAAAACACTATGAGGGTTCCTCAAAAAGTTAAACAGACTCAGCAATTCACCCAAAGGAATTTAAAGTAGGACTCAAACAAGTATTTATACATCTGTGTTCATAGTAGCATTACTCACAAGAGCCAAAAGCAAAAACAGACCAAATGTCCAATAATGGATGAATGGATAGACAAGATGTGGTCATATGCATTCACTGGCAGACAGTGAAATATTACTGAGCCTTTAAAAGGAAGGAAACTGACACATGTGACAATGTAAATGAAATCTGAAGACATGCTGAAAAATAAGCGGATACAAATGGACTGATGTTGTATCACTTCTCTTACATGAGGTACTCAGCCTTGGGTCCTTTGCATCATCCCTTTCAGGACCTTTAAGTCCATAGTCATTCATTTATAGTCATTCATTTATTAATTTATTCATTTAATCTTTATTAAGCATATACTATATTTTAAGATACTCTAAAACTATGGAATAGCTTGGAGATTATTGATTGTGAGTCAAATAGAGAAAAGATTTGATTGAAATCATCAGTATAAAAGAAATATCATTTTTTAAATTAAAACAATCTAATTATAGATTTCTCACATTCAGATAAAAGATTTGATTCTCAAATCAAAGCATCACAAAATACAAAAGCTGGAAGAAAACCAATCTAGCTTAGTAAACTGCTCAGCAAAATAATATATTTCTTCCAAATAAAATTCAAGGGTTTCTAATATAATAAAATATTAAAACTGCCAAATTTATGATAGCCATCATTTTGCAGTCTAAAATTTCATTATTGAGGTTCGTAGTGTAGCCAAATTCATGGAGACAGAAAATAGAATGGTGGTTGCCAGGGATTGGGAATGGAAGAATAGAGAATTGTTATTTCATGAATATGGAGTTCCAGTTTGGGAAGAAGAGAAGCTGAACAATATTCAATTGTGTATTTTTACCACATTTTCTTTATGCTTTCATTTGTTGATAGGTACCTAGGCTGGCACCATAAATTGGCTATTGTGAATTGTGCTATGATAAACATGGGTACACAGGTTTCCTATAGTATGCTGACTTTAATTCCTTTGCATATGCCCAGGAGCAGTATACCTAGATCATATGGTAGTTCTGCTTTTAGTTTTTTGAGGAACTTCCCTACTGTACTAGTTTACATTCCTGCTAACCATGTATAAAGTTTCCTTTTCCCCACCATACATCTTCTCCAGCATTTATTCATTTATTTATTTATTTTGATTGGTTACTTTTTTTTCTTTTCTATTCTTGACAGCAGCCATCTGAGGTGAGATGGAATCTCATTGCAATTTTGACCGAATTTCCCTGATGGCTAAATACGCTGAATATTTTTTCATATAATGGTTGATTGTTTGTACTTCCTTTGAGAAACATCTGTTCAGTTCATTTGCTCATTTATTGATTGGCTTGCCACACTTGTATTTTTGATATTTCAGCTATAATAGAAAAGGATGGTAAAAACTATCACCAGAAATGATGGTTTCTTAAGTTTAAATAAAATGAAACATGTATTTAATGCTCTAAATTAATAAATGTCAAAATGATATTAAGTCCTGATTTTTTTAAATATATAGAAATAATTGTTATTGATCAGGAAAACAAAATAAAACCTAGTCAGGCACAACCTGTAAACAGGTTTTGAATTACACATTCATTGTTAGGCAGGAATTCCTAGAGACTTAAAATAGCCACTTTCTATTATTTTACCATTTTCTCCTCCACACTAAGGAAAATAGAATTTATTGGCCTCTTCCAATTTATGATCCTTCTATATACTCACAGTTCAGTTTGTTGTGATCTCTTTCTTAATCAAATTTACCTGTTAAATGTGAGATTTTAAAATGTTAAATTTGTTTTTCTGTTGGAACACTTTGCATTTTAAGCTTTTTGTTTGTTTGTTTGTTTGTTAATATGCATGCCTTATTAAGAGTATTCCTCTTCTGGAGTTAACAGAAATACAAAACATATATCAATAATCCCTATTTTAGGTTTTTTTTTGAATAAACCATTTAAACAACTAAAATAGAGAACACGTATAGAACTGAAGGTCTTCTTACCTGGAAGGGGAAGATAAGAAGGGAAGCACTTGAAAGGAATCCCCAGGTGCTATGGATGAAACCTAGGGCCTAGAGCATGCTTGGCAAGCACTCCACCACTGAGTTATACTCCTAGCTCCCCAAATTGTATTTTAATTGGCAATTAAAAAAATCAGTGTTCTGGGGCAGGCAAACTAACATCTGTGAGCCTTTCTGTTTTTAAAAATAAAGTTTTATTGGAACACATCCATGCTCATTTGCTTACATATTGTCCATAGCTCTTTTTGCATTACAAAGACAATTGAATTGTTGCAACAAAAGTCAGATGGATTGCAAAGCCAAAAATATTTACTATTGGGCCTTTTGAGAAAAAAAAAAGAAAGGAAAAAAAGAAAAAAAAATGTGTCTCCTGATCTAGGGACAAAATAAAGGAAAAAGAAAACAAAACTCTCCYTCTTGCAGTAATGGTACAATCAGAAGATTCTAAAACAGAAATATTGAAAAACAAGCATTAAGCCTCATGTTAATTAAAGCCTTACATCTAAAGGTCACACTGTGGTCAGTCAGTATTCTTTGCTGCTAGATGACAGGAAGTATGAGTTAAGTTCCTCTGACTGTGGGAATAAAGAGCAATTTGCTATGTCCAGATATATTAGACAATGTTTTTTTTAAAWTTTTTTTTTAGTTGCAGTTGGACATTTATTTATTTATTTTTATGTGGTGCTGAGGTGCGAACCCAATAACTCCCACATGCTAGACAAATGCTTTATTGCTGAACCACAACTCCAGCTCCATAGGCAATGTGATTTTTTAAGGACAAACAATAATAAGCAAACAACAATGATATAATAAACAATAAATATCAAAATGATGCAGATCCTTCCAAATATTTTTTGCTTGGGTTTATGGACCAACCTGACTTAGTTTTATTGGAACAGTTGCTGCTTTGGGACCTCAGGCTTTGAGGTAGGGAACAACAGGTGAGCAGTGGCATCATAGAAGCACATTCTATGCTCTTCTGTTTGCAGTCTGGGGATCCTGTGTTTTTTGGTAGGGGAAAAAAAAATCTTTCAAAGTCTCCTGTACAGGACATAGTCTTTATCCTGAGACCCAGTCAAGATGCAAATTTACTGTATTCTTTCCTAGCTATGTTAAGACAATAAATTTCCATTTTTTATTTAAGTGCTTTGAGTTGATTTTTGTCACTTACACCACAACAGTTTTTTGTCTGTTTTTAGTTCTACCTGATATATGATTTTTCACTCCTAATAGGTTCATCTATGAGGATAACTGAACATAATGTTTAATGTCAGACTTGCATTAAACTCACACAGTTTCAGTCTGTTAACTATGTGTAATTTTGACTTTAAGTTTCTACTGTTATATGACAGAAGAGATATCTCCAGAGAAGCGTCTTAGGAGTTCCCAGAAGAAAGAGGTATTCAAATCAAGTCCAGTGGAATTCTTTGCATATAAAACAGAAAAGAATTTCAGCCTGAGCCAGACAAAGGCWTAGACTTTGAGGACGGCAGATACATTCAAGGGAGAAGGCAGACTGTTTCCAGAGTGAGAAGCAGCCCTGCCTTGGGATGAGGGTCCAATATTTATAAAAGGACTATATCAGGAACTGGACTGGAGGTGGATCCAGGTGGAGCTACACAATTTCACACAGGTTTTCCTTGCCCTTGCTTATTTCCCTCATTTTGCAAGGGCATGGGCTAAGGGCACAGGCCAAGGGCGCGTTGCTCAAGATTTACAACTGTGCCTTCTACATCTCAATGGCTTGTGAGTGCTTCCTTTAAGATCTGGTATTTCTCTCTCTTAATCCTAAATCTCTATCTCAATATCTCTTCAAAATGGAGATAATAATATCTGCTTTCAAGAATCATGTGATGATGAAAGAAGATTACATATTTGCAGAGCATAAGGCATGAAAGAAACAATAAATTTTAYGAAGAAGGTCCTTTGGTTCTCCTCAATCAAATCAGAAACAACAACAACAACAACAAAAAAAAACAATGGATCTAGAGGTCCTGACCATCACCTCTTCCTACTTAACCTCTGCATGCTCATTCTTCTAGGATTAATCCACTCCCTTGTCCTCTGGGAAGCCCACTTGCCCACCTACCATGTCACTAAGTGGAACCAGATGAGAATTCTCAATGATCTAATAACTCTCTGGGGTTGGTACTTATACCAATTATATCATGTAACCTCGGTGTTAATACCTTTCTACTTTACCCATAATAACAATATATGTTTATTATGAAAAATTTTGAAAATACAGAAAAGCCCAAAGAACATAATAATAAGAACAAATCAACTGCATTCTCACTTCCACAACCCCAAAATAATTTTCTTTTTCCTCTCTCTCCCATTCTACATGTACTTTATTGGTACAGTTTCAGTTACCACTAAGAAACAACCTGGATTTAATATTCAATTGGTTTTAACAATAGGAAATAATTAGCTCTCATAATAAGAAATAAGGTGACTTCTTGAGGACAGTTCATCAAAATCATTCTTCAATTATAGCAATAAGGAACTGGGTCAGAGACTATTTTAATATCCCTTAAATGATTTTATAAGACGAAATGAGAAACAGTAAACTATTTCTAAGTATTTCACATCTAGTAAATCAGCCTTATAGGAAATTGACTTGCACTGGGTGGATTTTTAGTGAACTGGCTTTTGGCCACCAACCTCCAGCCATTTACTTCAACATTGACTGACCAGCAGATCACAGAACAGCATCTGGGACCTCTCCATTTTTCTGCTTTCTCCTGGCATGAAGCACACAGCTGTGAAAGAGGAAGAGGAAAACCTCATCAAAATTGTGTTGTTTAGGAAGAAAGAGGGAAATAGCATGAGTAGGAAGCCTGTAGGAAATGGGTATAGACAGAAATCAAGTTTCTGCCCTCTTAGTTTTTTTTGACTTGCCATATATACAATTCCCTATGTCAGTAAGTATTTTTGAGAACATGATTTTGACTGAAAACATATTTGTATGAAAGCATCTTTATTTTATAACAGGTTCCCTGTTAGACGGTTAGGGTGATTCAATTTGTCTGTGTCATAAATCACTCAGTGTTTTGTGCTAAAACTGTCAAATTACTGTCCATAAATACATGTCTTGAATAATGCTGTTTCTTTTACTGAAATAAGCATTACCATTTACAGTTAATGGTGACCTTATATCATTAATGAATCAATAAATGATTTTTCAAGAAAATCCTGGATTCGTAATATACATATATACTTTTTCAACCTCACATCCTCCACCCTCCYGCAACACCAAAAGAGCTCTTGACCAATTCTTCTCAATAAATATTTCCAGATAATTTTGCCAGGCCCTATAAAGACCCAATCTCTGCCTATAAGAGCTTATAACTTAACTAGAGTTTTTTTCTGAATAAATCACAGCAGATAAAGAGCTTGGAATACCAGAACTGTTTGATCCACACATTTGTTTAATATCTATTGACTATCCTGGAAAACAGAGGTGCAATGCTCTTGTGGAACTTGGTAGTATTAGTACTGAGAAAGAAGTCCAGTGCATAGTTTCAAGTGGTTCTTCCCATCTTTTGTTCCCCAGTCCTTTGCTACTTTGAAAGGAAACATCTGGTCTCCCTGCCTTTTTCTGAATATTTTGGAGAGAATGTTTAATGTTAATTTTCTCACCTTTGGCCTTGTCACTGATGTCATAGATAATGTAGCTATTTCAGCCAAGTCCTAGACCTGGTCAAAGAATATACTTTTACAAACTTTCTTTCCTGATGGAGTCTGTGGCTCACTAACAAGGCAGGAAGTGCTGCTCGCAATGAACTTTGCTGGCTGTGCCTRTGAATAACATGGGAGCTCTGGAATATTGCTGACCCAGCCCCTGCATTCTCTCCCAGGGGACCCTGGGTCTACCAGAGTGTGACAGCCACAGAGTGTACTGGATTCTGCTTTAGGAATGTTGTTCCTTTTGGGATTTTTCAAGATAGAAATTTATCCTTATGGATCTGCCTGCCCATCCAAGAGATAGCTGGGAATGTGGCTGAAAAAAAAAAAAAAAAAAGAAAAGAAAAAGAAGTTCCCTGGCTTCACCTGGACCAAAAGAATCAGATCTTCAAGGCATGAGGGAACTACTGGTCCAAACTTCTCATTACACAGGTGACTAAAATCTGAGCCAAAGAATTCACCCAGGCTCTCCATCGGGCATAATGCACTTTATATCTTCAAACATCAACTTCTTTCTTAGTTACCAAAAACAGGTCAGAGAAGCCATTGGAGGCACTGCTAGTCTTAGGAATCCTCCTAAGGAGATAAAGAGAGGCCAGTCAATAAAAGGAGGCGGGGAAGGAGGGAGATGAGGGGAAGAGAGGCCCGGTTGCTGCTGGCAGGAAGCATCAGCAGAGAGCCCAGGAGTTATCTGTGCAGCCACCTTACATCACACCAGCCTTTCCTTTCCCAGGGACCAGCTCAGKGAGCAAGGCCTTGCCCATCCTGGCCTCAGATTCCTGCTCTGCTGCAAGGCATGCTGCACAAGTAGGAGGGCACTGGAGAATCCCGACAGCACTGAGATCTGCGGCACCGGATCTCATAAACCAGCCCAGGACAAAGAGCAGCTGACTCACTGTTAAATTTTCGATGACGTGGTGTTGGCAGAGCCCTGCTCTGCGCAGAGCTGCTGGCCCCATTCTTCCCTGAAGGCCAGGAAAAGGTACAGGCACGGCCGGGAAGACGCACCCACAGATGAAGCTCAGCCAAGTAGCCCAGGGCTGCTCTTTTCTACTTAATGCAGATAAATACAGAATGTCCCCAATCCTTCCCTTGGTCCACCTCCAGTGCCTACAGATGGTTTTGTTGGTGGAAAGACAACAAAGAATAATTTAAAATAAATAAATAAATAAATAAAWAWAAATAAACTCTTTTTTCCCTTTTTTTGCAGTATTGGGTAAAAAATAAAATGAAATGAAATAAAAACAAAACCCTGAGGCCTCACTCATGCTAGGCAAGTGCTTTACCAACTGAACTACTTTCTCAACCCTAAGTGACTTATTTWTAACAGGCGACCTTGAATTCAAGTGAAAGGAGGCCAAATTGCTGGGCTGAATTACCCAATAAGATGCATTTATTCAACAGATATCTTTTGAGTCCTTGTTATTGAGAAACAAAACCAGCAAGCATTCTTGTTTTCTGTAACTTACATTCTTAGAATGAAAATCTAAATCTCTATGTAATTAATGAAATATATGCAAGAATGATGGTTTCTTTCCCTGACATAAGAGCTTCTTCATATTTATTAAGATCTTCATATTTTAACATTTAAAGAGTGGCAATGTAATCAAATGAAAGTAACTGAAATAAAGATTGTGGCATCCTAGCCAATAAGAAAAACTAATTGGGTTACTTTCACTCTTGCATAGTGCAATAAAACTCCTCAAAAACACACATTACCATGAAAAGCAAAATTTAGAAAAGTTCATGATTAAGAATCAAAATCTATAAATCATCGTATTCAACTTTTTTTACTCCCATATTAACCTAAAATCTATTGGTTTATGATTTTAATAATATCCTAATAACTATAATCTGTTGAACACTGTGTGCCAAGTATCATGTTAATATGCATTAAAAAAAATTAATCCTCACCATAAGCCTTTGAGTCAGGTCTGGTTATCTCCATTTTGTAGATTTGGTCCAGCACAGAGAGGTTAAGTAACTTGCTCAAGATCACACAGTTCTGCATCCAAATTCAAACCCAATTTGCCCCGCAAGTCTCTGTTATTAACTAGTAAGTTAATAACAGATGTTTGGAGAAATCCCCAAACATCCCTATGGATCTGTCATAGATTATTGGTAGGAAAAGTATCACATAGTGGTTAAATGCATGGATTTTGGTGTCAAGCATTCTTGATTTGCATACTGATCCTACTGCTATATAGTCAAATAGCACTCACCTCACTGAGTTGTACCAGGGATTATAGGATAATCTGTGTAAAACTCACAGGACAATTGTTAGCTCTTAACTCTCAATTAATGTTAACTATAAAATTGGGACCCTAATATTTTCATCATATGGTTGTAATGGAAATTAAAATGAAATAATAGATAGAGTGCTTAGCACACCATGTGCCTGGTGTGTTATAAACACCAAAGAATAGAAGCAGGCAGGCCTATGCCAGACACAGGAACAGACATAGACAATACTACAAGTAGTAGATACCTCAAGTATTCATAGATGGTTTTCTCATGTGGGTTAATTTTTTTCTTCACTCTGTACCCATTCTGGCAACTCAGTTGTTCCCTGGAACACATATCCCAAAACTCCAGTTTTGTTTTTTTTTTTTCAATAATATTTTAAAAGGACTAAGGGACTAGCCTGGGCCAAGCTGCGAGTCATGACAAAAGCATGTACATTCTGGGATCTCAGCCTGCTGTTCTATTTTGCTCTGCAAAAGCATGACCCTAGAACACCACTAAAAATAAGCAGTATAGACATTAATATGCCCTACTAAAATAAGTGAGTACATTATGATCAGGATTTCATTGTGGCTCAGAATTGTAACTCTCCTTGTAATACCTGGTCAAATTAAACTGAGAAAACACACCTTAAGTAACCTATTTAATCACGGTGTTATTAATCCATTGGTGGCGTCATCCATTTTTCTTCAGAAGTGGGATGAATCGAGGTTCCCWAAAGGGCTGGAGGAGGGGGTGATGATGCACTCTAATAACACCCAGCAGTATAWGATTCATATAATACTCAGTGATGGGGCTGTCAGGATGTGCCGCTGAATCACAGTGATAGCAGTCAGCACCCTTCAGGCAACACCCAAAGGCTCTGAGAGTATCTAAGTATTCAAATCATGGTGCTAACATGAAACACAAAGAGGTTCCTCTGCTCAAGAGATTTCACTGACTCTGGCACAGGCCACAATGGAAGCACCAATAAAACAAAACAGCAAGATGAGATACCATCAAGATTTTTCTGATGACTATAGCCCTAATATCCTCAGAATGGTGAAAAAAAAGTGGCCCCATGAAGCCATCACCTGAGGCCTGCCTAAAATCTCAGAGTAAAAGCTGTCAGAATCCAGATTTATATCAATTTTAAATTTATATCAAACCATCCAATGATAAGTATTAGGGATTATTTTAATTTAGATAATAGCAATGACTATGCTTTGGGGTATCATTTCTTTTATTTGTTTGTTTATTTTGTAATTGTAAATGGATAGAATACCTTTATTTGTTTACTTTTATGTGGTGCTGAGGACGGAACCCAGTGCTTGACACATGTTCGTCAAACACTCTGCCACTGAGGTACAGCCCCAACCCTGGGTATCATTTCTTTATTTCACTATTAGATCAAATAACAACAAGTCCTGATGTAAATATATTTAACCTTTCAACTGTGATATGGAAAGCCAAAGTACTAGAAAAGCATCTGAAACATAATATCTCCATTAYAAATATGAAGTATAGCCCCTGAAATGAGGGGAAGTCTTAGATGGAAAATAAACCGGGTAGATGAAAGATGTGAAAGTCATATTAAAAACCCAAATTGGTTGATTCAGTGAGAAGAAAAAGATGGGTGCACTGGCATCTCTAAACCAATGAGAAGTGCCCTGGAATTTACCATTTTCCACTAGTTGGACTAGCATTGTCTAAGCATCTCACTGTCAGTTTCATTGTCACAGAGTGCAGAGAGGTAATGGTACAGAGCCTTGAGGGGGGAGAAGGAAAGTGCTAGCTTCTAAAACAACTGGGAGAGGGGAAAAGAACACTAAAGGGACAATATGGAAGATAG